TGCGCATGTAGGCCAGACTCCCCCGGGTCCTCTTCCTTCAGGGTCTGGGTGCCTACTGTGACCTGCTCCACTACAGCCTGGGTCCCAGCCTCTTGCTGGGCCCGCTCTGTCCCAGGCTGTTTGTCCACCATCCCCCGAGAGTGGCTCTTGGGCAGGTCTACTGCCATCTCTGTAGCAGCTACCTGGCCGGTCCTTGATCCCGTTGGGACCTCAGGCCCCTCCACCTGAGTTCGCCCTTCTCTGAGAGGGCAGTTCCTCTTTATGTGGCCCTGTTCATGGCAGCCAAAGCAGGCTCGCCGCCCCTTTGCTGCCTTGGGCCCCAGCTTCTTCCGTTGGTCCTTCTCAGGGCCAGCCCTCCCTGGGCTGCCCTGGGACATGCTCCTTGGGGCAGGGCACTCCCTCCATAGGTGCCCCCACCGATCACAGGCCCAACACTTTCTTCGCCTCAGGAATTCCCTTGCCAGGTGGCCTGTTGTAGGGGCTTGTCCCTTCCCCCGTCCTGGGTGAGGCTCCCTGCCCCCATCCCAGTAGGGACAATTCACCCTTACATGTCCGCACGTCCCACAGGTGTAACGAGCCCTGTGCTCTGCCCTGGGCCTCCTGGCCCCAGCACTGGGCCTCTCCCACCAGTCTCGGTGGTCTTTTTGGAAGTCCCTCCGCAGGAATTTCACCAGGGACTGCTGCTCCTCTGCCAGCTGCCCCAGTTGTGCCTGCAAGGCCAACTGTACTTCCCACTGTCTCTCCTGGTTCTCCCGGAGCACACGGAGTAAGGTCTCACACCTCTCCTGTGTCCCGTCAGTCCCCTTCTGTTGGGGCCCTGGCACCGGAGACCAGCCAGGGATGGCACAAGAGCCTTCAGCGAAGAAAACCTCTGTATATGCTGTGTCCATTGTCTCCTTTCTTCTCTTGCTCAGCAATAGTCCCAGTCCATGCCCTGCCCCTTGTATCAGGGGCAGACTGCACTTGCCCACATTCTATACGACCCCAGTACCTTTCCTGGCCTTTAGCAAGGCCTGCCGCCTGGGAGTTTTTCAGGCTGGAGCTCCCCAGCTCCTCTGGAGCTTCCCTCAGTCCTGCTCCACTCCAGGTACCCTGTTCTCCCAGGCAGCCAGTCCTTCTCTCCCTACAGCTAGAGAGAGAGTCTGCCTGAGCTCCTGGCTCTCTGGCCTTTTATAGGGCCAGCTATGGCCTGATCGGGGCGTGGCCCCAGCTGTGGCTGCCTTCCCAATCAGCCTAGCCTTTTCTCTCAGCCCCAGCCCTCTCCAGGGGTGGGCTTTAACCCTTTCCGAGCCGGAGCAGGGTGGCCGCCCTGCTACAATGACCAACAAAAATGCCTGGAATTCTGTTCCAGAGCGGGCCTAGGAAAACACTCGATGGGAGATGCATTTATCATCAAATGGAACGACAATTTCCTATACACATTCCCCCCGATAACCACTTCTTCACAGGGTATTATGAAAAATATGAGCGGAGAGGGCCAGAGTCATACTAATGGCCCCTACGTGGCTCAGACAGGCGTGATACCCATTTTTAACAAGGATGTCAGTTTGCCTGCCAATTCCACTTCCCCCACTTCCGAACTTATTATCACAACACAGGGGTCAGCTACACCACTCCAGCGTAACGATGCTGCACCTCAAAGCATGGCTTCTCAATCGTTCTCTAATGAGGAACTAGACTGCTCTGAACAGGTACAAAGAGTACTATTACATAGCAGAACACAATCCACACATACCACCTATCTCCATAAATGAACTCGGTTTACTCGCTGGTGCTATGCCAAGCAAACCGTTCCTGTTTCTGCCCCTCGTTCACTAATACTAGACTATCTTTTAGAACTTAAACTATCTGGGTTCTCCTGTAGCTCCATAAAGCAGCAATTATAGCATTTCACAATAAGACCAGAGACACTACTATCTTTGCTCACCCCATCACAAAGCAGTTCCTCAAGGGCCTCCAGACCTTAAACCAAGACGTTAGACCACCCACTCAACGCTGGGACCTACACTTGGTCCTCACATGCTTGATGCGCCATCCATTTGAGCCTCTTGCAACATGTTCTCTCCTACATCTATCTATGAAAACTGTGTTCTTAGTCGCCGTTATAGCTGCCAGACGTGTAGGAAAACTTGGAGAGCTTATGGCTGACCCACCGTACACTATATTTTTTTAAAGACAAAGTCAAGCTCCGAATGCATCCTAAATTTCTCCTGAAGGTGCATTCCTCCTTCCACCTCAATGAACCTATCCATCTACAACCTTCTTTCCTAAACTGCATTCGAACACTTCTGAAGCAGGAATGCACACACTTGACATGCGTAGAGCATTTTCCTTTTATTTGGATACGACTAAGCCCTTTAGGGCTTCCCCTAAACTTTTCATTTTATCGCAGAATGATCCAGAGGCAAATCCATCTCTACCCAGAAAATATCCAATTGGATAGCAGGCCGCATCCACCTATGCTACCAACTAGAGGAGAGGAAAGTGGTCAGGAACAGTCAGCATGGATTCACCAAGGGCAAGTCATGCCTGACTAACCTAATTGCCTTCTATGATGCAATAACTGGCTCTATGGATGAGGGGAAAGCAGTGGACGTGTTATTCCTTGACTTCAGCAAAGCTTCTGACACGGTCTCCCGCAGTATTCTTGCCAGCAAGTTAAAGAAGTGTGGGCTGGATTAATGGACTATAAGGTGGATAGAAAGCTGGCTAGATCATCGGGCTCAATGGGTAGTGATCAATGGCTCCATGTCTAGTTGGTAGCTGGTATCAAGCGGAGTGCCTCAAGGGTCGGTACTGGGGCTGATTTTGTTCAATATCTTTATTAATGATCTGGAGGATGGTGTGGATTGCACCCTCAGCGAGTCTGCGGATGACACTAAACTGGGAGGAGTGGCAGATACACTGGAGGGTAGGGATAGGATACAGAGGCACCTAGACAAATAAGAGAATTGGACCAAAAGAAATCTGATGAGGTTCACCAAGGACAAAGGCAGAGTCCTGCATTTAGGACGGAAGAATCCCATGCATTGCTACAGACTAGGGACCGAGTGGCTAGGCAGCAGTTCTGCAGAAAAGGACCTAAGGGTTACAGTGGACGAGAAGCTGGATGAGCATCAGTAGTGTGTCCTCGTTGCCAAGAAGGCTAACGGCATTTTGGGCTGTATAAGTAGGAGCATTACTAGCAGATCGAGGGATGTGATCATTCCCCTCTATTCGTCATTGGTGAGGCCTCATCTGGAGTACTGTGTTCAGTGTTGGGCCCCACGCTACAAGAAGGATGTGGAAAAATTGGAAAGAGTCCAGCAAAGGGCAACAAAAATGATTAGGGGTCTGGAACACATGACTTATGAGGAGAGGCTGAGGGAACTGGGATTATTTAGTCTGCAGAAAAGAATGAGGGGGTATTTGATAGCTGCTTTCAACTACCTGGGGGGGGAGGGGGTTCCAAAGAGGATGGATCTAGACTGTTGTCAGTGGTACCAGATGACAGAACAAGGAGTAATGGTCTCCAAGTTGCAGTGGGGTAGGTTTAGGTTGGATATTAGGAAAAACTTTTTCACTAGGAGGGTGGTGAAGCACTGGACTGTGTTACCTAGGGAGGTGGTGGAATCTCCTTCCTTAGAGGTTTTTAGGGCCCTGCTTGACAAAGCCCTGGCTGGGATGATTTAGTTGGGGATTGGCCCTGCTTTGAGCAGGGGGTTGGACTAGATGACCTCCTGAGGTCCCTTCCAACCCTGATATTATATGATTCTATGATAAAGAAGATGAATCCTCCAACTTCTGTTAGAGCACACTCCATCAGATCTGTGTCAACATTTGTGGCATTTTTACGTAACATTCCTCTCACAGATATTTGCCATCTGGGCTTCACAGCATACCTTTGCTAAACATTAAGCTATTACTCAGGGACCCCTGACTGACATTCGAAATGGCTGAGCTGTGCTGTCTACAGCTTTCTTACCAGATCTGAAGTGCCTACCTCCTTAAGAGATATTGCTTTTCAGTCACCTGGAGTGGAGCGCCCCAAGGGACGCCTCTCGAGAAGAAGAGGAGGTTACTCACCTGTGCAGTAACTGACGTTCTTTGAGATGAGTGTCCCTGTGGGTGCTCCACTACCCACCCTCCTCCCCCCTACTTTAGCATTTGGAGTGGTCTCCGTTGTAGAGAAAGAACTGAGGAGCCTGGTGTTATTGAGACACATTTGGCACGTGAGGTAGGCACCGCATGAGTACTGCTGTAAAAATCTCCGAGTGAAGGAGCAGGGGCGCACTAACACCTGGAGTGGAGCATCCACAGGGACACTCTTCTCGAAGAACGTCAGTTATTGCACAGGTGAGTAACCTCTTAATTTCTATTAATTTCAGGTAGCGCCTGAAACAGCTTGCCCAATTAGCAAGTGTTGATCCTGCAGAGTAATATTGAATGGGGTTCTGCTATTTGTTGCTGTACTTTTGTGGCCCACGTCATTACAGTATTTGAGTGTAACACAAACATTGCTGAATTTATCCTCCGCACCCTCTCTGAGGTGTAACAGTAGTATTGTCCTCGTTTTACAGACTGGGGAATTGAGGCCCAAGCAGACTAGGGCTTGCCCATAGTTACACTGGAGGGCTGTGCCAAGAATTGAATCCAGGTTCCCTGAGTTTCAGTCTAATACCTAAAATCCAGGGCTGTCACTGGGGCAGGTCATTGATTAACTCACTGAAATATGAGGGAAGTGAAATCAACTCTCCAAATTGAGGAAGGATCTAGAGTGTGGGTACAGCAGTCTGGAAAGAGGAACCTTCAGAGGAGCCAAGCATGGCAAGATGGTTTGAGCTGAATTTTGTTCTTTCTTTTGACTTAGTTGTTAATAAAATCAAATCCTAAGGTGATAGTATGTGCATCATGTTTGAGAGCAGGTGGGTGAAGGCACCTGTTCACAGTGTACTTTGTTTTGTTGGGGTGTGCTACATGTTTAAATCTGTGATAACCTTTATTCTGTTCCTAAATGTCAGACACAGTGAAGACTTCAGGTACAGAGAATTCTGAGAATTTTCTCAAAAGAAGAGTTTCTTTGACATCCTCTTCTGGATCAGCAGAGGCGCTTGGTGAGCAGGGGCTGGGGAAAATTGCAGGAAATACAAAATGTCTAATTATTATGTAGGGGGATGAGGTAAGGTAACCCACTTCCCTTAGTTCCATGCCCTTATTGATCTGAAATAACACTCTAATATTTGTTTGCAGAGGAAATAAGAGCTCTCTTCTCAGAGAGCATCCACTGTCACTCTATATGGAATGGACTTTCTCTGTTGCATTATGGGAATGAGTGAAGGGAAAATATTTAAAAGCGCTTTATACAGGACCTGGGTTCATTTCCCTATGCTTCTGTCTTAGTTTGCTTTTCACTGTGCTCTGTAAAATATACTATCAAAATGAAATTCTGTGGCAAATCAAAAGAATACTTAGCTGTGTTTCAGGATGCGGCATTTATCTTGTGCAAAATACCAGTAGACCAGTGAGACCAGTCATTCTAGCCCTGCAGCATATTATTAGTGTCCTTACGTTTCTCTAGTGCCTTGTTTTGAAAATTTAACCCGTGGGCGAATGAGAGATGATAGGTAGGGTGGGGACAGGTTGGGAAGACAAGTAGCTTATGTTTGATACAATAGGGAAGAGGGAGCTAGTGAAGGGATGCAAAGAAAAGGGTAACACGGACTTGGGAAATGATCTTCGCAGCAGCATTCTGAATGGATATGAGCGAGGCAAAATTGTATTTGTGAAGGCCAGAGAGAAGGATGTTGCTGTAATCAAGATGCAAGATGATGAGAGCCTGGAGAGAGTTTTAGCTGTGCAGATGGATAGGAAAGGCTGTATTTTAAAGATGTTATGCAAAAAAACTCTGCAAGACATAGGCATACCCTGCATGTGAGGACCTACAGAGAGGTCGCAGTCAAAGATGAGACCCAGATTACAGGCCTGAGGATGGTGGTGTGCTCCACAGGGATCAAGAAAAGAGGGGGGGGTGTGTGAATTTATTTTTGGGGGAGGGGAGAGAAAAAATTAAGAGCTGTTTTTTTAGCCATGTTGAGGATTAGCTGACAGCTAGCCAGGCATGAGGAAATGTCAGAGACAGGCTGAGATTTTAATGTGGACAGAAGGAGACAGGCCTGGAGTAGACAGGTAGATATGTGAGTTATTTGCATAAAGATGGTAGTTGACTTTGTTTGGGGATTAGATTACCCAGAGGTAAGATGTAGAGGGAGAAGAGGATCAAAGACAGAGTTCTATGGTACAACCACAGAAAGCTGGAGGGGAGATGAAAAAAGATCCTCTGAAGCATATGCTGAAGGAGTGATTAGAGAGTTAGGAGGAGAATCAAGAGAGAACAGAGTTATAGAAGCCAAGGGAGGGCAAGATTTCAAGGACAGGAGCATGGTAGACTGTGTCCAAGGCACCTGAAAGGTCAAGGAGGATGAGGATGGAGTACTGGTTCTGAGAGTTGGCTGCAAGGTCATTAGAGACTTTGTTAAGAGCAGTTTCAGTTGAGTGCAGGAACAGAAGCTAGTTTAGAGGGGGTCTAGGACAGAATTGGAGAAGAGGAACTCCAGACAGTGACTGGAAACCGAGTGAGGCAGAACGTAATAAATGGAGTTGCTCTTTTCCTGTGGCTGCTGCGCATAATGACAAGTGATCAAGACCTTGGTTTTTACATTTTATCCCAGCAGCATATTGACTACTCAGACCATGTTGGGATGTCAATTGGTGATTCAGAGAAAAGACTGGTGCCTATTAAATGATCAGTATCACACAAAGGATTTCCCACCATCCTTTATCTTGCTTAGCTGGTGAGAACTGACAAGTCTCAGCAATTTGTGGGAAGAACTTTAGAAGCAGCCAAATCTGGGAAAACCATTTTTCTTTCCAGCACCCCAGTTCCCTGTATTTCTGGGGTGCAAAGCATACTCTACTCCCAATTCTCAAATTAGGTCATGTACAAAGAACATAGCAAAATGGATTAATGCATGTGCGTGTGTCAACGCCCCGCAACCTATTGTTGCATGTCTGCTTTACAGCACATTAATCCTCTCCAGAGGACAGACAGGCTAGTGTGTCATACAGAGGATCTGGATTTAAGGACAACAGAAACAGGTGAACCACTTGAGATCCCATGATGGATGGAGCTGTCAAAGTACAAAGTATTATCATCACTTTGTTAGGGGGCTTATTCCTTCACCCACTTACTTCCCTGGTCCTTCTCGCATGAACAGAGAGCAACAATACCCGAAGTCCAAAGGTGCAAACAATTCGATGTTTTTTGGGGTGAACTTCCAGCAAGCATGATTCCAGTTTCCTTCCTTAGTATCCTCCTTCCCAGCTCTGACACCACAGAGCCTTACACCTGTGTCCCTGTTCCCATTCCTACCCTTAGCCAAACATGATTCCAACTTCCTTACTCCCATTCCCTGTTCCCATTTCCCCCTTTAGCAAAACATGATTCCAATTTTCTTACCCCCATTCCCTGTTCCCATCTCCCTCCCCCACCCACCCTTCCACCCACACCCACTCACTTCCTCATTGACTACAGATTATATAGTAAAACTTGAGTTCTGCTTAGCTATACCTTAACGAATCATTTTCCTGAAATTTAACTAACCAATCCTAACATATTGTAACATGATTATGTAACCAATTATATCCCACCACCTTAATTAGTTTACACCCAGCAAAATTAATTATACAGCAGACAGGAACAATCACAGAACCAGACAGAGATTATACAGACAAACAATAGCAAAGTGGGAACTATAATGACAAGACAATACAGAAGTGAGGATTTCACATCCCAGCTATTGATAAGTGAGTTCTTGCTAGACAGGATGCTATCAAACTAAGTTTCCTTTTACATTTTCTAGGCACTTCCCTTTCTCTGGAGGTGATAGGAATACAATCCTGTCCTGATAGTTCCTAACAGCCGAATAGCACCTTATTTCAGTGTGACTAGTTTGGAAAGTGAGGATGTGACCGTTCGCTTCCTAGCTTATGGCTGTCTCTGCTGCTTAGCCAAAGGCCTTAGCCTAAGAATAGGGCCTCAGACTGTCACAGTAAGAGAAGGCCCTTACACCAGCAGACAGTGATTTTGATTCTTTCTTTTGTACCTCTATCACTAGCTAAGTGATAAGAATACACCTACATTCTTAGAGTATAGGCCTTTACAGACAGGCCTGAATATCTATATCCTAACACTCTTCTCCATAACTAGTGTCCTTATTCTAAATGTTTTATAGAATAAGCAATTGTGAAAGTAAAATAGCAGCTCTCTGCTTGTTGGAGACAAAATGAAGACTAGATTTTTCCTTCCTCAAAACAAACTGTGTGTTGTACAGAAGTGCAATCCTATTGACTGGAGCGAGGCTGCATAGTTATAAGTGATGGCTTTGCTCTTGAGAATGAGTGTTCAGGAAGGGAGAAGCAGTGAGATATTGTCAGAAGTTTGCCCATATTCTGGTACTTGCACAGTGACTTTCATACCAGAACTGTGTGGGTCAGCAGTGAGCAAGTATTGACCAATCAGGATGAAGCTCTACTCAGTTGTTTATGTCCTTCTCTTCCTTTGTTTTAAGATTTCTAGGTAACATTTGCTTGCTACATCCATTCTGATTCCCACTTTGGCAACAAGATAGTTTAATTTAAGAGAGGGTGTGTTCCCAGGCACAAACAAGGGTTGTAGGAAGACATGACTTGTAGAATTCTAATAGAGTAGTGCTTTCATCCATGTGCTGCCTTTTCTTTGCTCTCTCTGATTTTAATTGCTTCTCATGGCTGTGTGATAAGATGTGCCACGTTGCTGGATTCCTTTTTTAGGCCTTGTCTGGCAAAGTACTTAAGCACATGCTTAGCTTTACGCATAAGCTTAAATGCTTTGCTGGACCAGAGCCTTAATGTATGCAGTTCAGCAGGTGGCATAACACAAGCATGTAGGTGACCCTGTTCTCTTTGAGGTGCTCTTCTAATGCTCCTATGGAAGTTTTGCTGGCGTGACTGTTTTTGGGGCAGCTAATACTAGTCTTTCATGGGGGTTGATAACTGAATAGCGAATGGCCCCATTGGAGCTTAGTGGCTGCCAGAAATGCCAAGTTTGCTTTATTGTTAGAGGCAGAATGAAAGAGATGGAAAAGATGTGCCAGAGAGAAGTTGGAGATAACCCATACCCCTACCTTGGATGGGCTGGAGTTCCTCAAGGTGATGGGAGACCATTATTGACTTGGAGGAGTCCAAGGTTTCACATAGCTGCTCACCTTCAGAAATTAAAAAAAAAAATATTTTTTAAAATGTCGTCTTCAATTGCTCAGAATGATAGAAACTTAAATGAAGTTCTCTCCACTTGTCAATTTCTGGCTGTTGTTTTGGAGGTCACTTTAACTGTTCTGTTATGGAACCACACAGTCTGTGCAGAAGGGCTTGAACCAGATAGCCTGGTGAGAAAATGCTGCTCTGGTAAAGGCAAAATTGACAGAGAGTAAAAAGTTAATGCTGTTTTCCTTGTCTTGCTGTTTGTGAAGCCTTCCCATAGCAGCCCTTGTGGATATATTAATTTCTAGAAGCTGCAAGATGATCCAGCTACATTGCAACATCAGGCTGCATTTTCTTTACTGTCTGTGCAATTCTTAACTTTTGGAATAAAAAAAGAAAAGTGGCCTATGGATGTATATGGTGTCTGCTGTCCTTGAGAAGACTGACCAAGAGGTGCTATAGGGAAGGCTAAATGAGCCATGGTGATGGGAGTGCTTTGAAAAAACCTCTTTTCTTCTCTTTGCAGGTAGCTCCAGTGGCACTAAATCAGACTTGGATATGGCGTACGAGAGAGCCAGGGTGCATTTCACACCAGATGAAGCTCCGACCAGTCCTGTTGTGAGCAAGGTAGATATTCTCTGCATGAGGTCAGAGATGCACTTCCCTCCTTCCCCCTTAATGTGGTTCCTCCTCATGCACCTGAATAAGGGATTTGATTGTGCTTACAGATTGCATGGTCACATAAAATATTCTGAAACCATGCACTTACACATATGCGGATGGAGCTCTGGCCCTCTCCAGGAGGGTTGTGTCAGAGTCCAGTCTTCATGTAAAACCAGACATTTGCAGAAGGAGATCAGTCATCTTTTGTGTAAATGTATTTAAAACTTGTAATTACTCAATACAGTTTAATGGCTCGTTCGGCTCATTAGTCCCAACAAGGACTCTGGTACTGAGGCATGAGCTGCAGGTTTCAATTCAGAGCTAAAGTATACAGCTGACTAATGATACATCTCTGAAAATTAAAGTCTGAACTGAAATGTTAGTAAAGGTATTTATTTTCTAAAACACTGGTACAGCTCCAGTGATAGCAGCATGAATAGTGACATTGTGCTTCTAAAGGTCCCCAGATTTTGCAGTCTCCAGGAGTAGGACTAGACCCTTGAAGACTGATGACTAGGGCCCTACCAAATTAATAGCCATGAAAAATGCGTCCCGGACTGTGAAATCTGGTCTCCCCCCACGAAATCTGGTCTTTTGTGTGCTTTTACCCTATACAATACAGATTTCACAGGGGAGACCAGCTTTTCTCAAATTGGGTGTCCTGACTCCAAAGGGAGTTGCAGGGGGGCCACGGTCTTGCCACCCTTACTTCTGCACTGCCTTCAGAGCTGGGCAGCCGGAGAGCAGCAGCTGATGTCTGGGCACCCACCTCTGAAGCAGCGTCCCGCCAGCAGCAGCAGCGCAGAAGCAAGGGTGGCAACACCGTACCAGGCCACCCTTACTTCTGCGCTGCTCCTGGCGGCGGCTCTGCCTTCAGCGCTGGGCTCCCTGCCAGCAGCTGCCGCTCTCCAGCTGCCCACTGCTGAAGGCAGCGCCGCTGCCAGCAGCAGCACAGAAGTAAGGATAGCAGTACCGCAACCCCCCCACAATAACCTTGTGACCCACCCACAACTCCTTTTTGGGTCAGGACCCCTATAATTACAACACCGTGAAATTTCAGATTTAAATAGCTGCAATCATGAAATTTATGATTTAAAAAATCCTATGACCATGAAATTGACCAAAATGGATCGTGAATTTGGTAGGGCCCTAGTGATGAGGTAGCAGTCTTCAGATGGACTCCTAGGTGTCAGCTTTTCAGGAGGCGGTGTATGTGGGGACCATCTGGCCTAGTCTTTGCTCCTCTCTTCTTAAAATGCTACTTTAAAATGCTTCTTATGCTAGTCACTGCAGTGAGGAGGAAAGGAGCTTTAGGATCTGGAGAATGCAGTGCTGAATGGTGTCCTCTGCCTACAGCACCTCCTGCAAAGGAGGATGAAGGGCTGCAGAATCTGGGTTTTCTACTATGTTCCTCCTATCCTGGAGGCTGCAGTGGTGGTGCTATATAAGGGAGGTGAGCAGAACTGGGAGAGGAGATGCTCTTCACAGAAGAAGCTGGTAGTCAGGGATCTTCTAGGTTCTGCATCTGGCAGTGGCCATCCCCACCCCCTTCTGTATTTGGGTTTCAGACCAGATTAAACAAAGAAACCTTCTCAATCTCAAAAACACTTTGCATGCTGGTGATGATGGTGTTTTGGAGACTGTAAAGGGAAGGCCTGAGTTTCTGGGAGTTACCCACACAATATACGTGACTTAGCAGGCTGGTCTTTGATCAGAGTGGAGTGTGTTTGTTCCAGAAGCCTCTGGGATTTTTGTCTGAGTGCTCCTGTATTTGACTGGTATGTGCTAGATCCTCTGAGACTCAATCTATTCAGAATCCTGCTTTCTGAGAACTGTGATGAAAAAGCAGTTTTACTCTCGTGTCCTTGGTGAGGTTTGGAATTTTCTGAGATTTTTCTCCAGCCTCCACAGACATTTATCTCTCTGGATTCGTTACTCCCGTGTCATGTGTAATTACATGTCTTACTGTTTTAATTAAATCTTAATTCCATCATAGCAGCAGCTGCCTAATTTGAGAGATACTTGAGGGGAAAAAAACTTTAAAAGATCGAAGTCTTATTTCTCTCTTTTCCAGGCTCCTGGGAGGCCAGATGAATAAACCTATTATTGCATTAGAATGACTGCCTGTCTAGGGAAACAAAAGGATGATTAATTTAATAAGCAGTTGTGTGTGTGTGTGTGTTTTTTAAATTCCTACGTGTTTCTAGGTCACCGGTTGTGGTAGGTTGGAGAGCATAGATGATAACACAATTTCTTTTTCCCAGGTAGATGCTAATTGCAGCATGAAAAATAACATTTGGCATCTCTGCTTTTTTTAAGTCTATATTGAAGAAGACTGTGACCGTGACAGAAACTCCCTCTGCGGTTTTCCATTACACAGAGGGTGACCTAACTGCGCCAGACTCCTGTGCTAGCAAACAAGTTGATGCCATCTTCGAAGCTGCTAAGAAAGACCTTTTAACATTGATGAAACTCGATGTAAGTTATTAAAGGAGAAATGACCTTGCTGTGCCTTTCATCCCATTCTGCACAATCAGTAAAAAGGAAATCTTTAGAAGGGAAATGGACTGGCTGAGGGGGAGTTGTTCTGTTCCTCAGCCTGTTAAAGTTGAAAGCAGGATTGAAATAGATATAACTATTAAGTCATGCTTAATGCGTGACTGTTGGCCATTTGAGTTTATTTTTGCCTTTGAAGTTGCAGTTGTGTGGTAGAAATCAAAAGGGTTTTTACTGCAGGTAAGTGAGAAACAACTTCTCATTTTTATCTAGTCTTACAATTTTTGTTGTCAACAACCCATGTTGACAGTCCTCCTCAGACTGCCTGTAGGTGGTAGTGTGATAGTCAATTGCAATAAGTGCAAATATCAGTACCTTTGGAAAGAAAAACGGGGTGTGTGCGTGGGGGGGTGCGCGCTCGCAGCTTTCGGGCTCTTATAAAGAGAGGAGGCTGCCAGTGGAGCAGATGGCTTTTGATGGTGTACAGACTTCTTGAAATGACACCTGATATATGGATATTAATATGTAAAAACTGATCATGGTAGAAGATTGGAAACTGAGGTTCTTGGAATAACAGGAACTGGAGCACACTGCAGAGCCTTTCTTTTCAGTGATGTGTTGAACCCTGAATATATTAAGATGCACATTAAAAAAAAAAAAGAAAAGGAAGGAAGAAAAAAAAAAAAGAGATTAATACAAGCTGTGTCCAATGTGCCTGAGCTAAATTTTGGGACTTAACATTTTAATATCCTGGTGTTTGAAGGTTTATGTTTGTGACTGAAAATATAAATAATGTCACCGTGTAACAATTTCGTATTTATGGGGCCCCCATTGTGCTCGGTGTGGGACAACATTATATAAGCTTTTGTGTTCTGCTTCTGTGTCTCCAAGAGCAAAAGAAAACCTTCAGAGCTACTGTTTTGCTCATCATACAAAGTCCTTCCCTGAGTCAGAGTTTTCAGGGCTTGCTGAGTTTATAGCCCTGCTGCTGCAGTACCTGAACATCTCTCACTTGATTTACAAATGGATCCATTCAAATAAATGAGTCATCCACCTGGGTAGCTTCATAAAAGGCAGTAGAGTCCCCTTGCTGTAGAGGCAGTTGGCTAGCTAAAAGCCTGAATGAATAGGTAAGTGGTGCCATGAAGTGCCAAGCTCTGGCAGATTGACAGAAACTGCAAGAGCTCTCAACTGCGAAGGACTGGCACTGTCCTGGATACTTGAATTCCAAGAACTAATAGCAGGAGCAACCCAGTTATCTGTGCCATTTGTTTAAAAAAGTCTCTTTTCTGTTAGATCAAATGAGTTCCAAAAGAGAGTCTAAATTCTGTGTGTGTGTGTGTGTGTGTGAGAGAGAGAGAGAGAGAGTGTCCAGATGAAACAAAGATGTGCTGTGCTGTGATTGTTTCTCATTCCCTAATAGTGCACTAAGCTATCTTCTGAAACCTTCCCTTTGAAATTGTCATTCTTGGGAGGAGGAAGGTGGTAGATCTGGGCCATGTCTGCACTGGAGAGTTGTTCAAATCAGAGCAGTCCTTATATGGACACTCTTATCTCGATTTAAGAGTGCCTTATATTGAATTAGCAGGCCCTTACTGAGGCTATGGGTATGTCTACACGACGAAATTAGGTCGAATTTATAGAAGTCAATTTTTTAGAAATCGATTTTATACAGTCGATTGTGTGTCCCCCACTTAAGACCATTAAGTCAGCAGAGTGCGTCCACAGTACTGAGGCTAGTGTTGACTTCTGGAGCATTGTACTGTGGGTAGCTATCCCACAGTTCCCGCAGTCTCTGCTGCCCATTGGAATTCTGGGTTAAGATCCCAATGCCTGATGGGGCAAAAACATAGTCGCAGGTGGTTCTGGGTACATGTTGTCCGCCCCCCCCACCCCCCCAATGAAAGCAACGGCAGACAATTGTTTCGCACCTTTTTTCCTGGGTTACCTGTGCAGACGCCATACCACGGCAAGCATGGAGCCGACTCAGCTCACTGTCACCATCTGTCTCCTGGGTGCTGGCAGATACGGTACTGCATTGCTACACCGCAGCAGCTCATTGCCCTGTGACAGCAGAAGGTGTAGTATGACTGGTAGCCATCATTGTTGTCGTCTCCTGGGTGCTCTTGGCCAACCTTGATCAGGGACTCCTGGGCAGACATGGGTGAGGTCTGTCGGGGCGCCTGGACATAAATGGGAGTGACTCCAGGTCATTCTCTTCTTAAATTTCTTCTCATGGAGATTCATTCTGCCTGGAAACGATGATGGCGACAGTCGTACTGCACCATCTTCTGGCAAGCACCCAGGAGACGACAACGGCTAGCAGTTGTACTGCACTGCCTGCTGCCAGCCTACCCCTTGCTCCTCCCTCCCTCCGTGAAAGCAACGGTCTACAATAGTTTTGCGCCTTTTTCCGTGCGGGCGCCATATAGCTGTCAGCATCGTCATCCACCTGCTGCTTCTGCTGCCACTCTGCTCTCTTGCAGATGCCATACTACGGCAAGCATGGAGCCCGCTCAGGTCACCGCAGCAGTTATGAGCATTTGTAAACACCACACGTGTTATCTAGCAGTATATGCAGAACCAGAACCTGCAAAAGCAGGCGAGGAGGCGACAGCAGCATGGTTACGAGAGTGATAAGGACATGGACGCAGACTTCTCACAAAGTACGGGCCTCGGCACTTTGGACATCATGGTGGTAATGGGGCAGGTTAATGCTGTGGAACGCCGATTCTGGCCCCGGAAAACAAGCACAGACTGGTGGGACCACATAGTGTTGCAGGTCTGGGATGATTCCCAGTGGCTGCGAAACTTTCGCATGCATAAGGGCACTTTCATGGAACTTTGCGACTTGCTTTCCCCTGCCCTGAAGTGCAAGAATACCAAGATGAGAGCAGCCTTCACAGTTGAGAAGCGAGTGGCGATCGCCCTGGGGAAGCTTGCAACGCCAGACAGCTACCAGTCAGTTGGGAATCAATTTGGAGTGGGCAAATCTACTGTTGGGGCTGCTGTGATGCAAGTAGCCAATGCAATCACTGAGCTGCTGCTATCAAGGTTAGTGACTCTGGGAAATGTGCAGGTCATAGTGGATGGCTTTGCTGCAATGGGGATTCCCTAACTGTGGTGGGGCGATAGACGGAACCCATATCCCTATCTTGGCACTGGAGCACCAAGGCAGTGAGTACATAAACCGAAAGGGGTACTTTTCAATGGTGCTGCAAGCACTGGTGGATCACAAGGGACTTTTCACCAAGATCAACGTGGAATGGCCTGGAAAGGTACATTATGCTTGCATCTTCAGGAACTCTGGTCTGTTTCAACAGCTGCAGCAAGGGACTTTCTTCCCATACCAGAAAATAACCGTTGGGGATGTTGAAGTGCCTATACTTATCCTTGGGGACCCAGCCTACCCCTTGCTCCCATGGCTCATGAAGCCATACACAGGCACCCTGGACAATACTCAGGAGCTGTTCAACTATAGGCTGAGCAAGTGCAGAATGGTGGCAGAATGTGCATTTGGACGTTTAAAAGCGTGCTGGCGCAGTTTACTGACTCGGTTAGACCTCAGCGAAACCAATATTCCCACTGTTATTACTGCTTGCTGTGTGCTCCACAATATCTGTGAGAGTAAGGGGGAGACGTTTATGGCAGGGTGGGAGGTTGAGGCAAATCGCCTGGCTGCTGATTATGCACAGCCAGACACCAGGGCAGTTAGAAGAGTACAGGAGGGTGCGGTGTGCATCAGAGAAGCTTTGAAAACCAGTTTCAGGAATGGCCAGGCTACGGTGTGAAAGTTCTGTTTGTTTCTCTTGATGAAAACCCGCCCCCTTGGTTCACTCTACTTCCCTGTAAGCCAACCACCTTCGATCACCGCTTGCAGAGGCAATAAAGTCATTGTTTCAAATTCATGCATTCTTTATTAATTCGTCACACAAATAGGGGGATAACTGCCAAGGTAGTCTGGGAGGGGTGGTGGAGGAGGGAAGCACCGAGTGGGGTGGGAGATGAGGGGAGGAGGGAAGGATAAGGCCACACTGCACTTTAAAACTTATTGAATGCCAGCTTTCTGTTGCTTGGGCAGTCCTCTGGGGTGGAGTGCTTGGGTGCCCGGAGGCCCCCCCACTGTGCTCTTAGGCGTCTGGATGAGGAGGCTATGGAACTTGGGGAGGAGGGTGGTTGGTTACACAGGGGCTGTAGCAGCGGTCTGTGCTCCTGCTGCCTTTCCTGCAGCTCAGCCATACTCTGAAGCATATCAGTTTGATCCTCCAGTAGCATCTGCATTGCCTCCTGCCTTCTGTCATCAAGCTGACACCACCTATCCTCTTCAACCCGCCACCTATCATCTTCGACCTGCCACCTGTCCTCAGGTTCATATTGGGCTTTCCTGGACTCTGATGTTGCTTGCCTCCACACATTCTGCTGGGATCTTTGTGTGGGAGGACTGCATGAGCTCAGAGAACATTTCTTCGCGAGTGCATTTTTTTCACCTTCTAATCTTCCCTAGCCTCTGGGACGGATGATAGTGTGAGCGTTGAAACATTTGCAGCTGTGGGAGGGGAAAAAAAACGGAGAGTAGTAGTTAAAAAGACACATTTTAGAGAACAATGGGTAGACTCTTTCACGGTGAACCTTGCTGTTAACATTACATAGCACATGTGCTTTCGGTACAAGGTCGCATTTTGCCTCCTATATTGAGGGTCTTCCGGTTTGGTATGAGAGATCACACATGCAGGGCCAGGCAACAGAATTCAGCTTGCAGGTAGCCATGGGAAACCACAGTCTGCATGTGGGAATGGTTTCAAACAGCAGTGCCCTCATTTCCCATACCAAACAGCCGTTGCGTTGGCCATTTAAAATGGGTTGGCAATTTAAAAGGAGGGGCTGCGGTTTTCGGGTTAACGTGCAGCACAAACCCACTGACCTCCCCCCCCCCCCCCACAAACCCAATTCTCTGGGATGATGGCTTCACCCCTTCCCCCACC